TAGCGAAAATGTTTTCTTCTCAATTTACAATCCCCGAAATTAGGTAATTGTTGATGATTTGCGACTGAGTCGAGTTTACGAGTTTCCATGTCACGAGTGGATTGACGAGCCAAATCAGAAGCAGTTATTCTGCGGCACAGATAAGGCCCGCAAGTCTTCGGTGGAAGAGAACTGGCGAAGTAAGTGATACTGTACAGTTTCAATATTTGAGAAGAATGACATGTAACTTTCTATTTTACGATTGAATCCGCACAAATAAGTAGACGCAGTCATTCACAGTATATATTTACAGATACTGCGTCAAAAATTATTATGAAAAGAACGAAAAATATTTTCGGTGAATGCGCGCGAGGAACCAGCTGTTGTTGGGGAAAGAAACATTCTTTTGTACTCACGTGAAGGTATATACTGCAGGGGCATGTATACCCAGCAAGAAATAATTTCACTGTTTGCAAGGTTTGTAAACGCTAAACCTGAATTCCACCAAACAGATAATAGGTTTGGCCATCAGTTAAATTAATAAATAATGGGCAGTAGTGATATCTCTCAATGGAAAGCTTTTCAGTCTATTTGTTCAGGGTTACTTGGCCGTATTCAAAAGACGCTCCTGTTGCATGTACTCATTCCTACACTAAAGCCGAACTACACCAGTGCGGCTCAAATCCTTTCTGTTGATGGACCATTCTGTTTCAATCACATTATAGTGACGGTAGCTGTGTGTGTGACATCGTTGTCTTTGTTGAGCAGGCAACTGTGCCTACATTTCAGTCAAAAATATGTTTACCGCTACAATGGGATAAAAAAATGAAATGAAATTTGGTACAAAACAATGATAAAACTAAATAGCTGTTCATCTTTGTAGATTTAGGATTGGTTCGTTACGGATCCTCGCCTTATCAGTGAGAATACGAGCCAGATAGGGAACCGCTGAGTTGCGATAAAAGTTTATGCGGGAGGGTAAGCAGCGAAAATTGAATCGGGTTGTAGCGTGGGAACGGCAAGCATATAAATCGGGATTGAGCAAATGACTGAGGTCAATGAGTATCTTATGAGCGAAATTCTCACAGGAAGTGATACGGAAATTATACAATGTTTTGTTCAGTGTTCAAAGGAATAAGAGAAACACGGCTGGCAATAACTGAACAAAACCCTTTTTAAGTATTCCAGGGAAAATAACGGGCGAACAATAGAGTATGATAGAAAAAATTCTTTGGTAAACAAAGGAACCTACAGTTTCATGTTTGACGCGAAATTGTCGTCGTTTGTGTGTTTGAAGAGATAAGCCACACAGTCTACAAACACAAGCAAGCACGTGAGAGGACCACCGTAGATTGCTATCTACGGCAACTCTTAGGTATTTGGTGGTATGTGTTCTGGTGACGGGTACGGAATTGATGACTAAGGGTTCCAAGGGATAATCGGATCGGGAAAGACTAAAATTGCATTCAAAGCACTTAGAAGTATTCAACTGGAGACCGGATTGATTCAAGATACTTGTAGTAAACTGTCGGAAAATGATTCTATGTTCGATTGATTTGAAATAGTTTGATATAAGACAACATCATCTGCATACTTACAGGTTTTGGATGCTAGGATTGAGGGTAAGTCACTGAGGAAAGTTGAAAATAAGTAGGCAGAAAGAACAGCACCATGAAGGACTTCAGAATTATTTACTAACGGTTTTGAATCAGTGCCACTTGCTTTCGTTCTTTGAATCCTTCCTGTGAAATGATCTTCCAATCATAAAAATAAGTTAATGAGGCAACCGAATGTCTGTAACTTTTGCAGAAGAAGAGATCGTGGTACAGAATCGAAAGCGGAAGAAAAGTCAAGGAAAACACAACGTACCGACTTTGAGAATCATCTAAAGATTTGCAAGTAGAGTGCATCATTGAAGAGACGGCATCCGNACTCGCGCACTTGATCTCAGTAGCACTTATCACCTATCAGCTTGAGTTTGATAACTTTCAGCCTTAGGGGGTCATCTGTGAACCAACACAGAACCCCCACTGAAAGTTCAAAGACTGAAGTTGAACTTGCTGGATACTAATACTAGTATACTAATCAGTTGCAATAGCCTACAAAGAGACTCTCCATCAGTGATTATTACCGTATATTATCTTCGGTTTCAGCTTTTTCAACTATACAATCTCGTACGCCGGTTTTGGTTGCTGTCTTTTGGTTACCCATGTGAACGAAATATTAGGAGAAAAGCAGTAAAAGTTGAAAGTAGTAGCAGTAGTTGAGAGTAATGGTGCTGAAAATTCATCCTACTAGGTGCATAAAGCTTAACTTGACTTGACTTGACTGGCCACTAGGATCAAGTGAAGAATTTCAGTGGGCTAAGGTTGCAAAGAAATATAGAAGATGCACGAACACCATTGTTTACGAGACTCTACCATATCACTCAGAG